TCGAAGTGCTCTCTGGATTTATTCAAGAAGGCAACAATTTCAAAATTGCTCTTGCTGACTGCATAATAGGAGTGAACAATAAGAAGCCTTTGAACAGTGTCAATATTAAGTGTTTTGGTGAAATGGGAGGATAGATCATGGAACTCTTAGGCTGAGCTTAGAAAACCTTGGTTGCTTTGCTCTTGCTTATTTATTTTTATTTATTTATTAGAAGCTTTTGTATGCCGTCCTATTATACAAGATCTCAGTACGGCTTACAGTATTTAAAAAGACAGTTAAAACAACAATTGCAATAAATAATAAAACAACAAAACAATAAATCAGTTACTGGACCTAATGCAGCCTGCTTTATAAGGTCCCCTAAAGGAAAGATGGGGGCACATCCATTAACATTGGGCCTTCCTTCTGTTGCTCAGGACTAGCAGCAAATAATGGAAATGCATGTTTCAAAATGGCAGAGGGAAAGGAAAGCCCTTTCCATTTGATGCTGTACCAGTAATATCCTTCCTACAGATCAGTGTCCAAGCTTAGCTAATGATCCAGGCATGCAGAAGAGGTACTTAGAAAGTTTGATATACTGTTCTCATTTGGGGGAAAATGGTGCTGATGCCTAGACTTCCTGAAATTATTCCCTCCAACCCACCCAAAGCATATGTGTGGTTGGCCCTGTAGCCCTATTTTGATACAGAAGACTCTTATTAAATTGCCTTTGCTCAGGAGCTGCATCATCGAGAGGGAGGAGGCTAACAACATTTGGGGCTAAGCTTAATATCTATATTACAGTTACAGCTGCTGTCAAAAACTGTGAATGAGACCCTTGTCTCCCCACTCCCTTGTATCCGAGTTAGATCTAATACAATTTAGCTTGTGTTGTGTTTACTTTCTACCACTTTGCTAGTACCAGCTAGTGATGTACCATTCTACCCCCACCGTACACATAACATGATACAAGTCGTATGTACTAGATGTAATGTGTCAGTTGAGTGTGGGAGAAAGTTCAGTGGCCGAGCTGAAATTAACTGGACTGGTCCTCTTCCATTCTTTTTTTGTCTCTAACTCTTTCCAGTGGTTTGGGAGGCAATGCCATGCATGGGAACACTAGGCTAAGGATTTTTAAAACAGGATTCATTTTTCCATGAATCTTATGAGATAATGATCTGGTTGCATCAAATACATTTCTTAAAATTAGGAAATCTAGCTTCTTAAAAAAGCTAGATTGACATATTATTTAGAGTGTTAATAATTAAAGGGCATATGTTCTAAATTAACGGTGTGTTCAAAACTTAATTCAGTTGATCAAAACTTCTGAATAAACCACAAAAAAGGGAATGGGATTTATTTATTTATTTAAAACATTTCTATGCCGCCCCCATCGCAACAAAGCTCGGGGCAGCTCACAAAGAATACATAAATACATAAATAATAATAATAATATAACAATAAAAACGTTTAAAAACCCCCGTTGCATTCTCAGCTAAAAATTTTAAAATCCTAATTAATTCAATAATTTAACAATTAAAATAAGTTTTAAATAAAAAGGTCTTAGCCTGGCGCCAAAAAACAAATAACGACAGCACCAGGTGGACCTCTCTGGGGAGTGCATTCCATAGATGGGGCGCCACCGCAGAGAAAGCCCTCTGGGTACTCACCCTCCTAATATCATTCACAGAGGGTTCCCGGAGAAGGGCATCCGTTGCTGATCTCAAGGGGCGGGAGGGCATATATGGGCGCAAGCGTTCCTTAGATATCCAGGTCCCAAGCCGTTTAGGGCTTTATAGGTCATAACCAACACCTTGAATTGGGCCCGGACTTCAATCGGGAGCCAGTGGAGCTGACGGAGAACTGGGGTTATATGAGAACAACGCCCAGTCCCTGTCAGCAACCTGGCAGCTCTATTCTGCACCAATTGAAGTATCCGGACTGTCTTCAAGGGTAGCCCCACGTAGAGTGTGTTACAGAAATCTAATCGGGAAGTTACCAGCGCGTGTGTCACTGTCGCCAGGCAGTTGTTCTCCAGGAAGGGACGCAGCTGATGTATCAGCCGAAGCTGAAGGAGGGCGCTCCTCGCCACCGCCGTCACCTGAGCTTCTACAGACAGCTCAGGATCGAGGAGCACTCCTTAGCTGCGAACCCTAGCCCTCAGAGGGAATGCAACCCCATTTAGGACAAGGCCCAAGTTCCCCATCCCGAGGCCTGAGCCACCCACCAACAGGACCTCCGTCTTGTCTGGATTGAGCTTCAGTTTATTGGCCCTCATCCAGCCCATTACCTCGGCCAGGCACCGGCTCAGCACAGCCACTGCCTCACCTGGATTGGTGGAAAACGAGAGGTAGAGCTGGGTATCATCAGCGTACTGATGATTCCGCAGCCCACACCTCCTGATGACCTCTCCCAGCAGTTTCATGTAGATGTTAAATAGCAAAGGGGACAAAATGGACCCCTGCGGAACTCCATGACATAACTGCCATGGCACAGAGCCATAGTCCCCCAGCACCACCTTCTGAAATCGGCCATTGAGATAGGAGCGGAACCACCGCCATGTGGTGCCTCCAACTCCCAATCCCGCTAGCCTATTCAGAAGGATATTATGGTCGATGGTATCGAAAGCCGCTGAGAGGTCCAGGAGAACCAACAGGGATGCACTCCCCCTGTCTCTCTCCCTGCACAGGTCATTGTACAGGGCGACCAAGGCAGATTCAGTGCCATACCCGGGTCTGAAGCCGGACTGAAATGGGTCCAGATAATCAGTTTCATCCAAGAGTGCTTGGAGTTGTCCCGCCACCACCCGCTCTAGTACCTTGCCCAAGAACGGGATGTTGACCACCGGTCTATAATTGGCGGCCACCTCTGGATCCAGGGATGCCTTCTTTAGGACTGGCCGGACTACCGCCTCCTTTAAAGGGGCAGGTACCCGGCCGTCTCTTAAAGAGGCGTTGACCACCTCCAGGATCCAGGTCCCAATCCCGTCCTTGGCTTTCTTAAGTAGCCAAGATGGGCATGGGTCTAGTAAGCAAGGGGTAGGATGTACTTGTTCAAGCACCTTGTCCACATCATCAGGCTGCAACAACTGAAATTCATCCATTAATTGTGGACTCAACGGCATTGATGGTGTCTCCCCAGTAGAATCTGATTCAATAGCAGAGTCAAGCTCGTGGCGAATCTGAGCGATTTTCTCCCTGAAATGTTTGGCAAAGTCATCACAGTGGGCCTTTGAGGGTGGCACAAGATCTTCCTTCGGGCCCGGCCCCTGCACCATCCGAAAAAGCCCCACCGGACAGCATTGTGAGGAGGCAATGAAAACGGAGAAGAATTTCTTCTTCGCCATCCTCACCGCCACAGCATAGGCCTGATAATGGGCTCTTAAGTGCGTTTGGTCAGAATCACCCCGTGATCTCCTCCACCTATGCTCTAGATGTCTCCCAACCTGCTTCATCGCCCGTAATTCCGGTGTATACCAAGGAGATGAACGGGCTTTGCCAGGTGGGAGAGGACGCTTGGGAGCGATCATATCAATAGTCCTGGTCATCTCATTCCACAGTTCAACCAGGGCATCAACAGGATCACCATCCTTGTCAAATGGAAAATCCCCCAGAGCTTCCAGGAATCCATCAGGATCCATCCAGCTCCGGGGGCAGACCAATGCAATCGGGTCCTCACCCTTGCAGAGGGAAAGGCCGCTCTTGAGCTCAAACCTTATGAGGAAGTGATCTGACCATGACAAGGGCGTCAAACTTAAATTCCTCACCCTCAGATCACCCTCTTCCTGCTCCGTCGAGAAAACCAGGTCCAGACTGTGTCCACGTTCATGGGTCGGGCCAATGACGTGTTGAGACAGCCCCATGGAGGCCATGAAGTCCTGAGCCGCCCCGGTTAGAACCGTCTCGGCATGGAGATTGAAGTCCCCCAGGACCAGCATCCTGGGAGTCTTCAACACCAGGTCCAAGACGATTTCCGTCAGCTCAGGCAGGGAGTCTGTTGGGCAGAAGGGTGCACGGTACACCAAGAGAATCCCCAGTCTGTCTCGGTCGCCCAACACCAAGTGGAGGCACTCCAGCCCTGGCCTCGAGAGGACAGGAAGCCCCACAAGGGAAATAGAAGCTCGATAAACCAGAGCGACCCCCCCTCCCCTCCCCTCCAGGCATGGTTGGTGCTGGACCAGGTACCCGGGCGGGCACAATTGTGAAACATTCCCCCCCACAGGTCACCCGCCCAGGTCTCTGTGATGCACGCCAGGTCGGCCCTCTCATCCATGATTTGATGATTTGATCATGGATGAGTGTTGCCTTATTTTGGACTGACCTGGCATTAAGCAGCAGCACCGACAGGCCCGGAGGGCAGTTGACAAGTCTACCTGGAACCCACTGGCTGGGGCTTTAGACTATGTTTTGAACTAGTCTCTCTCCCATTATGTTTACAAAATGATTTTTTTAAAAAAGGCTTTGGCCTTTTGAGTCTGCTAAGATGAATATGTCTTTAATCTTAATTGAGATGAATATTGTTTTTAAATTCCATTTTAAAAAACAAATTTGATGTAGGTGACACAATCCAAAGTTCTGTGTGGTTGGTGCTCTATAGAAAGAGGGATTGCTTTACAGACTTATCTCCAACCTTCTGCAAGTTAGTAATCTTCAGATGTGTTAGATGACAACTATCAATAGCCCCCATGTGCCCTGAAACAACGAATTTGCAGGTTGCTAAGTTGGAGAAGGCTGGTTTGGTGCTTGAGTTCATGAAGTCTTCCTTGACATGGAAATGAATTATACAGCCTTGCATTTTCAAGCTTTTTACCTCTAGAGGATTTTTTTGGGGGGGGGAGGGAGATTGGCTTCATGGAACCCCATGTAAAGATTTTTGGAATATTGTAGGATGATGGGTTTGGTCATCTGGGTTTGCACAGTCAAATGGGGGCGGGGAGGGGGGTGGAGAACAGTGGCCATATGCTCCTCCCTTGTGGCTTCCTTTCTCCTGTTCTTCTACTTTCCCTTTTCCCTTTGTGTGCTAGCCTCATGATCCTGGCATGTTTTAATCCATTAGTCCAAACTGGGAAACTCTGGCTTAATATCACTTAAAGCAAGAAATGAATTCTAGATACTATATTGGTTTGTTACCTGACATTAAGTCAGAGTGCAGACTTAACAGAGAACTTTGGCTCAATGCAAGATGGTAACTCTGCATGCAGGCTATTATGTAACTGGGGGAGGGGAGTGTAGAGGAGAACAGTAAGTACAGTTAGGATGCTATCCCTTGATTTCTTATACTATGATTTAGGAAGCCAGGGATGAACACCCAAATCTGGATAGTGATGCTGCATGGTTGGCCTGCATGAATCAGAAGTGTACCTTGGGAGAAAGTTTGATTCGCGTTATGCCCTCCGTTGCAGAAGCATGCTCCCTATTATGCATCTCCTTTGGAAACCCTGAGAAGCTTCTGAAGAGTGCCACATGCTCTGAAACATAGCCTGAAAGCTGTTGCTGTAGTCCTTAACGGTGCCGAGTTCCACTTGTGTATTGGTACATACCTGTGCCTATAGCTGGTTAAACTCTATTGCTGTACCGTGTTACAGGTTTCTGATATACTATACAGGGCCCAATGAATGAGGTATAAATATTTGTCCAGAGGATTCTGGCCAGTTAAAACTAAGTGTGTGAGATCTAGTAAGACATCTGTGCAGTAGTTAAAAGTGGCAAAGAGCGTTTCCCGGAAAGCCTGCTTATCTGTACTCTGCCTTGCTTCATTCTGTCCTCAAAGCACCAGTACGTGTCTGCTTCATGCTGTGTCTTTTCTTATGCCCTTGGACTACACAGGGGGTGCTCTTTGGCTTGGAATCTGAGAGTTCTGCCCATGTGAGTTGCTGAGACTGGGAAATGTTTAGGAAAAAAAAGTTATTTTGGTGGAAGGGGGAACTGCAAAAGGCAATGTCTACAGTATAGGATAAGCCAGGTCTATATACTTGTTCATGCTCTGCTGGGAAGAAGAGTGTGGCTAAGAAGTCTCTGGCAGAAATACATATGAAACACCAGTGAGAATTCTTTTCTCTTTTAGAGCAGAAATAAGCCAAGGTAATGCCAGTAGGCTGGTTGCTAGAAAGTACTGCCACTAATCTTCATTTGTTTCCTCTTAAATCAGTGATGGAGAGGGCAAAAGCAGAAGAGCCAGACCAAAAAAAAATCTAGTTCAGCATGCTTTTTTTTACCAGTCAAATGAGCACAGGAAGAACAGAAGAGTGTAGCTCAGAGTTATGTTGGTCAGCATGATAATGATTAGTGGCATCAGTGAAAAGACAAAAACGTAATAAGCATGTTCTGAAAATGCTTGTCTTTATAAAAGGCATCTGCATTACTCTATAGATAATAACTACTTAGAAAAATACTGTGTGTAAGTGGGGCTGGGAGTAGCACATTCTATCCCCATTTTAAATGCATTCACCCCCCCCCCCCACTCACACACCCCTTATGCAGTTTATGCCTGTAATAGAGTCTTGAATTAGGTGATTGTGAATTTTAAGTATAGATAGAAGTATCTTGAGTGGTCTCCAATGGGAGAAAGGTTTTCTGTGAAATGCTGTTAAAATAGCTCAAACTGAGAGAAGCTGTAAAAGGGTTAGGTGGGATTTGAAGCATTATAAAAGGGCAAATGTCTAGGACTGAACTCTGTTAACCTTAAAATTTTAAAATACATATTGGAATTAATCATACATTTTAATATGCATCCACTGGAAATATCTGACTAGTGTGTGTCCTCCCAAGGCATCAAGGACTGTTGCAACAATGTCCCCACACCCCAGCCAAGCTAATTGTGGTGTTGAATAGTGTGGTTAGCAATCACATCTGGGTGATTCAAACACTGTAGGTGAGGGGAGAGACTGTAGTGCCTGGGAAGTTCCTTCCTTAGACATTTTCCTTAGAATTGACTCTCCCTACATAGTAGTTCATGGCAAAGGCCGCAACAGTTGTTAATCCTTATATCCTGGAATCCTGTGTCTCATCTGTACAGCCACAGTGATGACTTCTTAAAAGGCCTGTTCACTGCCTCTTGCTCTCAGCCCTGTCACAGCAAGGGGAGGAGTCTACTGATCCACGCAGCTGTTCCCTGAGCTCTGGTTGAGTTGCTGTGGGCCAGTCCAAGAGGCTCCCTGAGGGGCTTGCAGACCAGAAACACTCCTTAGACTCAGTGTCAGCAGTCAGGTCTGGGCCCGTAGGCCTGTTACTGGTGCTTGGGCCCCAGCAGTTCCTTTGTGCTGTTCTCTCTCTTGAAAGGGCTGTGAAATTCACAGATTAACTGTACAGTTGTGTATTTCATCTGACTTTCTGTATCTAGTTAACAAGTTGGAAAAAAATTCCTTCTATCTTTGGCTTTTTGAACTTAATATCCAATTTGATGGAAGAGTTTTTGAGAACTCAGAAGTCAGTGTGCTGTGTGGCTAAGAGCAGAGGACTGGGACTCGGGCGATTTGGGTTCTAGTCCCTGCTCAGCCATAGAGCCAACTGAATGACTTTGGGCCACTCATAGACTCTCAGCCCAACTTACCTCACAGGGTTGCTGTTGTGGGGATAAGACTGAGAGCAACAGGAGGAGAACAATGCAAGCCATTTTGAGTTTGTTTAAAAAAGAAGAAAGGTGGGATACCAATCTAATAAATAAATAGGGATGTTTTGGATGGTCTTGAGTTTTGTATTTTAAAAGTATGGCTGTTTTAGTTATAAAATTGGGATTTGGAATTGTCATAGCATTCTGTTCCTTAATAACTGGAAGAACCAAATAAAAGGAGGGATGCTCTGGTTCCTGTTTCAGGTCATGATTGTGCATTAGCTCTCATAACACTTTTAGTTAAGATGGCTGCTAATGCTAGGCCTGTTTGAAAATATATGTTAGAGGAAATAGACTGGGGGTCAACACTGATTTACTCTTACTTTGTCATAACTAGTGTACCTTTATAATTCTCTTTGACACTAGAGTAAATCAATCAAGTAATCCATGACTGGCAACATTGAACAAGGGAGAACTATAAGGCTTTCATCGATAGATTTCTCTTTTAAGGAGCAGGTTGTCTTTCCTTCAGCTTTCCCATTGATTTCAATTGAAGTTGAGATTTCTGTTCTAAATATTACATGAAAAATTGCATTTGTTATGAATTTTTTTAAAAGTTTTTTTTAAAGTTGCTTATGTTCTGGTGTATTCTGATGGGTTATTTAAATGATAATTCCTAGTAATAATCTGAATTTCTTCCTATGAGACCAGTTCCAAGGAGAGGGAAATTCTTATTGACTTCTTTGAAATAATACAATTATCAGTGTGAATAAACTTTAAGGTGCTGAGACCAGATTTGCTATCTACTTCTGTAAGCAAACAGGAAGTAGTGACACCACAGTGCAGCAGTATAGCTGGAGGAATAGTTAGAAGTAATGTCTTAACTCCATAGCAACAGAAGTAATTGGTATCTAGGGGTGGAGCAACAGTAATTATGGAATAGTTGAAAATCAGCTAGGTTATCTGCATTGCTTCTGTCATTTGGTAAACAGGCCAGAAATCTGTATTCACCCAAAGGTTCAAAAGAACTTAAGCTAAAACAATTGATTAGTGTAGTTAATTTTTCTTCTGGTGGACTTTCATTGCTAGCAAGATTCTAAACTCATGGTAGTATGTAGTATTGTTCTAAATTTAAATATTCTTTCTTTCTCTCATGCTGAATCAATGTCTTGCTATTTTACATTGATTATTAGTCAGTATAGCAACTTTAAAAAGAAACTTCATTTAGCAAACAAGTTTCCTATTTATGATTTCCATGTAGATGGATACTCCAAAACATTCTTAACAGTATCTCTAGGTCCATTATAGTTGTACCATTTGCATTTAGATATTTTGAACCTGGTCCAAGTGGTAGACAACAGGGTGACTGAGTGGATAAGCGAGATTAACAGCTCTGGACTGTATTTTTTGCCGCACTGCATACATTATTGACTTCCCGATGCTGTTTGCCATAGGACAGGTATTTGCTAGGTATTTGGCTTGGGTTCTGAATATAGGAGGTGACATATACCATTGGCTTGAACCTAGGAGTCCACAGGTAGGAATTAATGATGTCACTTCCCTGAACTGAAATAGCTACACTCTCTTGTAATTCAGAGTGTGATGTTTTGGCATTGCAACTTGATTTTCTGTCAGGCTTCCTCTTATTCAGCAGTTCTTTTGAGGTAGTGTATGTCTACAGATGTATTTCTTTTAAGAGGTTTGCAGTCTCTCTTGCTCTCTCTTTCCCCCTCTTTCTTCCCTTCCCCCGTCCAGGTGGCTAATGAAGGATTTTGATTTATTTATCCTAGCTGTCTAGTCTAGTCTAGTCTGACTGCTACTTCTCTGTGTATGCATGTGTGCGTGTGTGCACATCTGTCTATAGCAAAACTGGCTTGCCTGAAGTCTCTTGAGTGAAATTGGTGGACGAGGCGGTCTGCCAGGTAGCTTGTCTCCTAAAAACATTAACAACCTTCTTAATATATACAAATTTAATTGTGTGTTGCTTTTATATAAAATTTACCTAAGTCAGATCAGAGAGGATAGGTGTCCCTTTTTTGTGGACACGTGACCCCTTCATAATTCTTCAATCTTTAAAACAGGCTTCTAGTATCTTTGTCTTTCATCCTCCCTCCACCACTAAATGTAACTCAAGCTAGGGATGTGTTGATATGGGAGCTTTCCAAACATTCTGCTAATCCTTGGGATGTTTAGTTAACCTTTATTTTTTTTTCTCCCTCCTTTTACAGGTAGAATTGTCCTTGAACAAGAAAACTTAAAAAAATTGGAGGGGAAGAAAAGATCAAAGACTTTGGTGTCTAAAAGATGTGCCATGGAATGGTAGCAACAAAGAGCACCACAACATCGCTGCTTACCTTGGTTAGTCATGGGATATTTTTTCCATTGTTTATCTTCAGTACACGCATGGTGGAAGGACTGGACTCATGTAAGTAAAGCTTTTGATGGCTATTTTATTTATATGACTAGTGCTCTCAGTTGACTCAGGGAGAATCACAAGAATGTTCTTAAAAGATGGGCTTTTGCCTCTAAAAACTCCACTCATAAATGGGTACCCACAAATCGCTTAAGGCAGCTTACTTATTTTTTTAAGGATACGGGTGTGCTCATTCCCACAATAGGAGATTCCTACCCCTCCAGTGCATGCTTGTCAATGAAGTGGAGATCCTGGTGAAGTATGGAATTTGAACAGGGCAACTGTTTTGAATAGCTAGTGCAGGTACAAAGGTGTGCCATCAGTTATGTGGAAGTTCAAAGGGCCTCCTTTGCAGAAGCTGCCATCTAAATAACAGCTTGTTCTGTATTTAAAAAGGCAGTTCCTGGTTTTCTTTTTCATGCTTTCTGTTATGGCCAAGAATGAGAATGAAAAGCAGAGCTATGTAGGTGGGGTTGAACTTATTTTTCAGTGATGATGATTAAGTACCATGAGGCTGCAGTCTTTAAAGCTGTGGAAGAGGTAAAACATACCCATCTGCTGCCGCCCACATCAGAGTCAGGAGTCAGTAGGAGCATTGGATAAATGTTAGCCCCTTCCAAGTAGTATCTCTTCAGGTATCACTTTACTTGCTTCTATGTACGTATGTTGATTGCTGCTGTTTATTCTAGGAAGGGGATAAAGTGAATTACTGTTTGGGTCTACCTTTGACCTTGTGTTATATGCTTTTATCCTGTCTTGCAGAGAGAGGGGAGCTCATAGTGTATACTTACAAGGCAGCATATCCATGTGAATAGAAGTCCTTGCTGCTTGTAATAAAAACAACCACACACGTAGGTACTCTGTGGGCCATGGGTCTCATGCAGCCCTCAGATGCATAACTGTGGTCTGTTACAGGTGCTTTTGCTCATTAACTCCCCCACCTTCCAGCATATATGCAGGACTGAGATGTGGAGGAAGCACATGAAACTGACCCTTCATACATGCTGTCTTTTCCAGCTAAAGTTTAGTAGGATACTAAATGTATGGCATTGACAAAAGGAAGAGCTTCAAGAGCATCCCATGCTTGTCCTCTTAACTATGTATAATGGGAGCTGTGGAAGGGAAATAGGAAGGGACACACTTGGTAATTGCAATCCATAGAATATTTATTTTCTTCCGCTTCACCCCACCTGGATGTTCAGGCCAATGAGGTCAGATAGCTTTCATCCATTAAAAAGATTATAATAGCGAGAGAATTAAAAAAAAATAACCTTTCTTAAAATGCTATCCCAACCACACTTTGTAGACTTGCTTTTCCATTCAGCATAGCTTCTTTGACCACAAGCCTGTTGGACACACTCTAGGATAAGGGGTGGAAATGTGTCATTCTTCAAGCTCTGTTAGTTGCTGAAATACGTATAAACAAGACTGTTCCCTTTTGGTAGTAGTGAATAACAGCCAACCTGTCTGAGGAGAGGTTAATCATCCCAGAGCTTTTTAGTGTAGTTTTGATGTGTGTCAGGGTATGTTGCATGAAGGAGCCCACAGTGATAAGAAGTTGTAATACCTCTGCAGACCTTTGCTGTAGTTTTAGAGAGAGGCTGCTTGCCTCCTACCCTGAATTCATTCCTTAATTTGAGGTTTGAAATGGGCAAAGGTATTATATTCAGCAGGTGGGTGATTATACCAAAGTATAAAAGGTCTGCTTCTAGGGGAAGAAAATGAGTTTTAGGATTCTTTCTTGACATGGACTAGAGATATCACCTTCTCCCTGAGGAAAAGTGACAGTTTCCAAGTACAGTGTCATGAATTAGATGAGCCCACATGGAGAAAGTGAACATTCTAGACATGCAGCCCTGCAGCAGGGTCTTAGTCCCTTATGTAACCTACAAAGCAACTCTGCTAAGAATCTGAGATTCAGATAAATAACTGGTTCAGGCAACTTAGTTCTGTTTTTTTCCCCTCAGAAATGCAGGTTCCCTTTTCAAGTTTCCAGAATTACAGCTACTGGATATATGGGTGGGTGTGAGGAAGTAATGTGTGCAAGAACAGGAAGACCTTGTTCCCTTGCTGTCCTGAGTCCTCTTAGTGTGACTGTTTTGAATGGGATAGAGACACAAAGCTTTGAACAGTGTCAGACATGATGTGTCCAGTAGCTCTATTTCTGGAATGTCATAATAAACAGTAATGAGTTTTTTAGAAGATCAGACTGATGTCTGAAATACTCTTGAAATTGTCAGTCAAATGTTCTTTTGCACAATGCACACTTTTTGTGGCATAAGAAGTTTGGGCGTTTGAGTCATAGCGTACATTAATCGGTTTCAGAAAATAACCTAATAGTACATGTCAGTGGTTGTAGTATGAGGAATTTCCTTGATAAAAGATTAAAGATGTCCTGTGACATACATGGTGAGTCTAAATATATTTATTTTATGTTACCCCAGCTCTTTAACATTGTATCACTCACAAAGGAATATGGGCAAGACATATCCACTTCGAATATTTTTTTGTTTAATAAACCCTGAACATGTTCGGCATTGTAACTATTTTTGAACTGTTACCAAAGTAGAGCAATTCCTAGGTTTTTCTGTCCATCATAGATGATTACTTGTAGAGAACAACTTGTGAATATCACCCCACTGCACTCAAGATTAGAAAATTGTCAGCTGTTTGGATGACTGAATTCCTAATTTTTGATAGTGGTGCAAAGCCTGTAGAAAATCTAATATATCAATGTTTGTTAGCAGCTGTCCTCAAAATGAGACTGACAGATGGACACATTTCCCTTTCCCCTTCTTCAAATTAGGGAAGGGAAATGTGACTCTCAATGGCTGAACTCACATAAAGCATGCGTGAATAACACAGAACTGGCATTTCCTCTGGAGCAGCCAACAAAAACAACTGTTGTTTGTCTCTGTGTTAGTATAGCCCAAAACAACTTGTTTGTGCATGGGTGGGTCTACCTTACAAGCAAGGTTGTCAGCTTACATCCAGCAGCCTTCCTCTGCTTTTGTTCCCGCACCTGGTATTCAGAGGCAATAGAATTATGCTTGTGTTTTCATGACGTTTCTCTCCAAATATCATGAGTAATCACTTCTGCAAAGTAAGATTGTTGTCAACATTATCCCCTGAGTAACTGCTTTGCTTTGAAGAACTGTGATAATTTCCCCAAAGAACTGCCACTTCATTCTACAGCTTTTCATATCCACATCAGATTCAGTCTTCCTGAAATTTTTGGCACAGTGCCTGCCCAATAAAAGGATTGTTGTACTTGTGTCGTTTGCTAAAGCCAAAATCATAATCTTGAGAATAACTTCTGGTGTAAAAAAACTATGGAGTTTCTGTACAAGCTATATCTTATGACATCTGCAAATAAGTTCCTTCGAAAGAGCCATGCTGCTCATCTTTATTTCTCATTTGCAGAGTTTAATGCTTTCTGCCTTCATTTATATAATTATTTGGATTTGGGGGAGAGGTGACTTTCATAATTCAGTGTAGAGAAGAGATAGCATCTGGAGAGGAGAAAGAATCTCTGTTAGAACATGAAAGGTTGTTAAGCTGTCAGCAGGCAAAAGGGAGTTGCTTGAATAGGCACCCCTGCGACATTTGAGCATGGGTGGTAATCAACCAACACATTCCCTTGAAAATTTCAGCAAAACAAATTCGCCTTCACCTGTATACCCCTGCCTCAGTATGTCCTGGAGAGTTGACAAACCCTCTGGGACAGATTTAGGAGCATGCTGAGAGGTGTAAATGTGAGGAGAGGAATACAGATTTCACAGTAGTAATCTAATTACACAATGGTGGATATCCCTTCCGTAGCTTGGTGGAAGAGCATGTGCTTGGCATGCAGAATGTTCTAGGTTCAGTCCCAGACAATCTCTGCTTAAAAGGATTGGGTAGCAGTTGATGTGAAAGACCTGTCAAGACCCTAGAGAGTTGTTTTCAGAATAGACAAATAGTTTGACCTGGTGAAGTGCTGCATCCTGGCTATTTTAAACCCTCACCTTAATCCAGAAGGTTTTTGTACACATCGACAGTATTGCTGCATGCATTCAGCCTTTCATCCTAGAATTTTACCTTTCAGTGGTAAAATTACCCAGGAGTTGCCCTGGGTATGTCTCTTCGTTGCATCTGGGGAATACCGCTTGATGTTGCACTGAATGTGAAAGGCTGTTTGTTCTGTCAGCTCCTCTGGAGAGGATCTGCTTTGGGTGGTTGGCCATTACACACAGAACAGTAGATTAAACTGTTGATACCATCCAACCTTTTTCCTGCTGACCTGTATACTAATGCAGCAAATAGATGACTGACTTTGTGTTCAGAATGGTATATTCAAAATGCTGATCTGTTTCTGAAAAGGCAGGTGCTGACATGTCCCAGTGTCTGCTGTGAAATTTAATTCTGGCTTATACAAAGTATGAACTGCAGGGGATAGCTTTAGAAAGAACTTGAGGCATTTCCCCACCACCACTTTTCTTTTTCTGTTTTTTCTTGGAAGCATTTTTCTTTGTGAATACCCACTTTCTTTCCACTTGTCCTAGTGGGAATACGAGGCTTGTTGCTCAATGCTGTTTCACAGCATCACATCTGGCTTTTGTAACTTCTCAAAGTTCTCTTTGTAACTTCTTCACTTCATGCTGAAGTGCCTGGTACCCAGTAGTCATAAAACATGAACAAAGTCCCACTGTGTTTGAATTGCTCAAGATGCAGCTCATGAAACCTGCTTGTGTTTCTTCATAGAAGTGGATGCACATTTACATATATCCAAAAACCACATACTGGTTTTGGATTCAACATTCCTGTGGGCAGAACTCCATTCATTGGAAGCTTCTGCTGGAGTAAGGGCAGGTAAGGAGATTTGAGGGGGGGGGCTCAGTTTACCTGTTTCCCATGTGGCCTCATAAAAGCTGCACCAGATGGAACCATGTGGATCATGGGGAGTGGCTCTGGGGGTTGCAGAGGAAAGGGTGAAGTTGGCAAGAAAAACAAAAACAAAGCCCCCCCCCTTC